ACATTTTGCTATTAGTTAGTTAATTTATAATCACCGAGCATCCTGCGACGCATCCAGTGCATGTCGCCACATCAACATCCTTTACATGAAATATTGGGCAAGTAAGACTATTTATCACGAAAAATTTCAACAGTTTAACATTTATATAATCTAAAACTTCATCGCTATTACATTCTTTCTTGCATGTCTTAAATCGGGTGCAAGTTTTCCATATATTATATGCAAATAGTTATTTGCATTGCGGGTTTCTCCAGATGAAGAAAGAAACATCAAACAAAAACTTAGAGAAATCTATCGTAGTTCTTTTCATGAAAAATGGAGTTAGTGAGTGACATTTTATGACGTGCTACATCTCATAAAGAATTTTCAAAATGGGCCCCATATTAATTTAAATGAGACCGAGTAAAAATCTAAACCTAAATTCAATCAGAATTGACCAGCGGCTACACTCAGATAAACGAGTATATATATCTAGAATATCTACAAATAATTCCAAATATGCAATATCAGATAAATAAATAAAATATTGAATATTTCGTTCTTGTTCAACTGACCTTATCCTTTTAATAGCTTCATTTGTACCAATTATTTTAGACCCATATATACCGCATATACTCTAAATTATATATTCGACTTCCTTTGGTTTTTTCCTGATTATTTTAAAAATTTAATCAAACCCGTAAAATATCATATAAGAGATTTTTTTTCAGAAAATAATTAATTTTTTAATAATAAAAAAAAAACAAGCATCCCTAAATAGATGTATCCTTGATAAAAAGAAAAAGTCTGGACATTTTATGTGACCTGTCCTTATCAATATATAAAGACAGTAGAATATATAATTTAAATTATGTGCTCTATTTATATATATATTTTTTATGGATCTAAAATAATTAGTCTGCAGATATAGAAAGGTTAATATCAGTGGAGCCTTAAAGAAAAAACAATGGGGATATAATTCGCTTGTTTTGACATGTTGTGAGGAAGTAGTCCTTTCCATTAGAACTAATCCCTATAGATGTAATATGCAATATTTGATGATTGATTTCCATTCCGGCAACCAATTAGGTCAGCATGGTCATAAATTGTAGTAGTGACAACTTAACAGTAACGTCTAACAGCTACAACCCCAAAGATTAGTTATAAATCATGAACCACGACTATGTAAAATATAAATGATTTAGTTGCTGTGCTCCTTCTAGTCCGTAGTATAGGAACCAAAGTAGACAAATGTCAACAATTGTATTTAGATCGATGGAAAGCAAATTAACAAATCAAGAACCATAGGCGATGCTTATCGTTAATTTTTCTCAAAACAGGAAAGAGTAGGACCAATCCTTAATGCATCATATGGTAAAAAAAAAAAGCCGGCAGAGGAAATCATGAACCACGATTTGATATATAAATCCTGCAATTCATAGCAGCGGAAGTCATAAAAAACCCGTTACCATAACTACATATATGGTCTAAATCATCATTCCATACGTCTTCTGATCTGAAATAGAGACAATTGAAAACACAGCTAGAAGAAAATAAATTATGTCGGGAAATCTGTGATGAGCATAAGCCTAAAGGGAGAGCCTAATCTCAAAACATTAGCCTATTCAAAGAGGAAAGCCTCTTGAACTTATAAATCTCACAACACTTGTGGGGTTCCCTAGTGGGAGACATGTAACAGAATCTTCTGACTAGTATGCAGACACGATGTAATGATGTCAACTAAGAATAGCTGTCACTAATCAAGGCTTAGCAAGTGAAAATTAGGTTTTCTTGATACATATACACCCTCCCCCCCAAAAGTCTGCTGCTGCCTCTCGATTCCTTCTTATTCTACTAATCTCCCCCTTTCTATTATCGTTGCTATTCTCGTGGCATAATGCGACTGTGCATTTTTATATTACATATAAGTTTATAGGTATTGACAACACATTTTCTCAACACATCACAAAATATAATATATGGGTTGTTAATACCTACCGTGATAGTTGTCAATCCTTACATCTTCAGTTGTCAACGACTGCTCTTTCAATTGTCAATACAAATTTAAAAAAAAAAAAGGATAATTTGGTAATTAAATAAATAAATTCTCTTGCAATAAGATTTCTTGGGAGTTGAGAATAATTTAATGATTTTCAGGGACTTTTTTATATTTAATTTTTTTGGATGAGACTTTGTTGCAATCTTCCCTCTTTTAATTTGTATTTCTTCGTGCATATTCATATATGATGAATCTATACGTCAGGATATCCAGGTCTGGGTCCCATATTTCACAGCAAAAGCCCAATGTGGGGCCCTCTCCGTGTCTATATAATTCCCCTCGGTTTCTCGTTTCGCATCATGGGTCTCGACTTGTTTTGCAACAGTGAAGTTTCCACTCATTTCCATCATTACTGCTTTTCTCACTGTGAGCTTCCACTCCCTTTCTTATTCTCTCTCACCTTTTTATTTTCCAGACAGAACTAAGATGTGAACGTGTGCGTCTCTATGAAATAGAAGGTTGTGTTGGTGGCGCCAGCTCATGATGCTGCCTTGGCCCCTGAGATTTATTGGAAGTCCATGCTTCCCTATACTCCCATGCCTGAACTCCTCAAAGATCTCCTCCACCCAACTGGCCTGGTTAGCATGATTAACGGGTAACAATAATAAATGCAGTCATTTGGGTTAGTTCATTCTGATGTCAACGTTGGCAACTCAGGTGGTGGCACCACTAATGACGGCGGTGTGCGTGAGATGGCCGATGAAATGCCTGATACTTCCAACTATCATTCTCCACGAAATAACTATAAGGTATTTAGCGGCTACCCTAGATATAGCACCCCACCCCATGACAACACCAATGGGACTGTCTTCTTTTCGGAAAAGGACTTGAAGGCCGGTCATGAAATGAACTTGCTCTTCATGAACATCAACAGCCATGCCTCCTTCCAGCCTCGTCAAGTTGCGAAATCCATTTCCTTTTCTTCAACTAAGGTATATTTAGTACTGTCACATTCATTCTACTGAGAAAAGAGATATATATAGCCAAATGATATGTGTTATCTGGTTTTTTAACAACAGATGGCTGAAATATTGAACAAGCTTGCCGAGAAACGTGGGTCAGTATATGCTAAGGAGATGAAGACAACAATTGAGATTTGTGAAGATCCAGGGGTCAAAGGAGAACAAAAGTACTATGGGAAGTCTTTAGAATTCATGGTTGATTTTGTTACTTTGAAGCTTGGGAAAAATGTGAATGCTTTGTCTGCAGAGGCGATGAAGGAGGGAACAAAGGAAGTAGAAGAATACACAATATTGCATGGAATGAAGAAGGTGGGGGGAACACAGTTGGTGTGCCATAAGCTCTATTACGCGTATGCTGTGTTTCTCTGTCACAAAATAGAGAACACAGTTGCCTATACAGTGCCCTGGGGGGTGCTGATGGGAGCAGAATGAAAGCTTTATGTGTTTGTCACAGAGAGACATCAACTTGGAACCCAAAACATGTGTCCTTCCAATTGTTAAAAGTGAAGCCTGGGACTGTTCCTGTGTGCCATTTCCTTTCTCGATCCACCGTTATGTGGGTTCCAAAAAAAAAAAACTAATGTGAACGTCAGTGGTTTAGATATACGTGTGTGTGTGTGTTTCAAAAATAAGAGGCACAGATAGAGAGTGTGATGAAACTCACAAGAAATATAAAATAGAGTTTCAATACAATATTCTCTCTATCTCTGTCTCACTTCATATATGATATCACTTGTTCATGTATTATATGATATGCAGGTGGCAGCACGTGTGTATGTATTATCATATATGATATGCAATTTGGATATTCTCAATTTCTCATTTTCTCTCTTTCTTGGCGTCACTGAAAACGCATACGGAGTCTCACGTTGGCCCCTGCTGGCATGCAATTTCATTCTTCAAACTTCTAGCTTACTATGTCATTTCAACACTTTTTTCACATACTTTGAAAGTACTATGATTGCTAACCGTTAATTGGAGCACCTAAATTAAAATTTGTATTTTTCTTTTGGATTACTATTTACTTGATATTTTATATTTTTTGTTCAAATTTAAAAATTTATAATTGATTATAAAAAATCGTATGAGAGTGCTTTAAAATTATTATGAAACCTCTACAAGTCCTTTACATGAGAAAAATATCACTCTAGCTTCGTCGTTTCTGATCTAAATATATGACGACTTGTTTATATATTTTAATATATGATATGCAGGGGGCATCACTGAGTAAATCCATTCTACTCAAACTTATTTTTTGACATATATTCTCTAGAAGTTTTTTTTTTGGCAAGTTCTATTCCAAACATTCTAAGACATTTGGAAAAAAAAAATTAAAGAAGATGGAACACAAAATTTTAATGAGGAAAAACCGACCGTGTGGGGATAAAAAAACCCAAGGGCAACGACAAGCAAGAAATTTCACTGAGAAAAATAGCATTTACGATAATCGTCTTTTCCCTATGAGGACGAAGAGACCCTATACATATACATAGATTGAGAAGGAGCTTCTAATAAATCTAAGAAAAATTAACCTGGCTGACAAATAGTATCTCCTAAAATTTGAATTATAAATATAATAGAAATATGATGGACTTTAAGCTAAGATAATAAATAAAGGAAAATCACTATGGGCCATAGGAATTTGAGTCTCATCAATCTCAACGCCTTCATCAAGACTCATCTTTAACTAATGAACTGATCATTCTTCATCTCTTGTATTTTGCCATCTCTCAACATCTTCTTTACACAACACACGCCACCCACACTGTGCTATTTTAAAAGCTGACTTCTTCTCTGGACCTTCGTTATTAGTGAAGAATACCATTTGAAGTTGCTCCACAACAAATGAAGAAAAACGAATGTAGATGATACATCGTTGATGACGACAATTAGACTGCACATGAATGCCACAACAACGGAATGAATTTGAGTATTTACCTTTAGAAACTTTATAAGTCCAATAAACGTTGTCACGGCAATTTGCAAATTCCAAATCATTTTCAAGCACTAAGCATATGGCCACACCCACCATTCACCTGAACGGCAAGAATCAGGAGTTTTTACTTTAAATGACGCATTTTTTGGAGTATACTCATATGGGCAATCTTCCGCACAAGAATAGTTTTGATGGTTAAACCATGGTGGCACTTCACTACCAGGAATAGTTTAATACTCGAGTCGGTTGCATAAAGTCAGACTGTGATGAAAATTATAATAGTTAATGTGTAAGAAATAGAATGATAAGAAAACTAGATAAACTAGAGATTCAAATAACTCACAACTTGTGAATCCCAAGTTATAATTGCAGACATGTAGTCGCTTAAACAGTGACATTTCCATTTTTGACCTGAGATTTCAAGTCTACATCGAGTCTGTAACGAAAAAAAAAATGGTATGATATAGAACTATACTGACTAATATGAAACACATAACAGTAAAAAAGAAATAAAACAAACCTGATATTCAAATTGCTCAATGAATTCCCATAGTTGCTGGGAACGAACATAATGTTTCAATGATGGACAATCAACTGCTTCTATAATTGATAGGTTTGCTGGAACTTGAGGCAAAGACTGAAGGCTTGGGCAATCATTCAAAGTAATACATTCAAGCTTTTCAAGTTTGGAAATGAGGCCAGAAGGAAATTCAACAAAATTGTTTCCACACAAATCCAACACTTTCAGTAATGATAAATTGCTAATTCCACTGGACAGTGAGTCATCATGAAGATTGCAATAACTTAGACGTAAATTGCCCAAAGATGATAGATTTGAAAAAGAAGGAGACCACAAAGAGTTTGTTGAACTTGGTGGCCTTTGAAGCCTAAATGCCACCTTGAGAAGGGAACGACTTTGTTGAACCTGATGGCCCTTACATCCCCTAAGAGATAATACTTTTAAATTATTCAAGGATGAAGGCACTTCTCTTGTAGCAGTTTCACCCACATGAAGCTCTTCCAATGAATCATTTTCATTCAAATTCTCTGGAAGCCTTGAAATCCTTGAGCAACCAGAAATATTGATATTCTTTATAGCTTTCAGTTTTTGAAAATCACTTGGGAAGCAAACCAGATTTTTGCAATCCTTTAAATTTAATATAATAAGACCAGTCAAATTGACCAATGATTGTGGTAGTTTGGATATAGCAGTGCTCTCTAAATCAAGCTTGGATAAACATTCCATACCTTCTCTAAACTCAGGAAGTTTTTTAACTTTTGAACACCCAGAGAGAACTAGTGTCTCTAAAGAATTCATCTCGAATTTGGTTGGAAGATTCTTAATACTTTTGCAACCTTTAAAATCAAAAATGGCAAGATTCCTGTGTTGCCAGAGAGAGTGGTGAACTTCAACAAGCTTTGTACACCCTTTAAGAATTAATCTTTGAAGATTAGGAGTTTTATCAAAATTTGGTGTTCTGATCAGGTTTGCTGAATGACTCAAATCAATGAACTTCAAACTTTGCAGAAACTGAAAAGAGGAAAAGAAGCCTTCAAAAACCAACAACAAGCTAGTGATACATGCATCAGATTATAGACAAACATATCTAAGCAGAGGACATTAGTTACCTGAGTTTCTCTCCAAAGTTCTTTTAATGTGCTGTATTGCATTTTAAGATCAACAAGTTCATGAAATTGATTTTGCCTTGGTAGGAAATCTAAAGGATACTCCTTCCATTCGATGACTTTCAATGTGTTAGGAAGGCAGTTAAGTCCATCAAGATTCAATTGGCCTTGTGACAAATGTGAATGACTTGACATGACAAGTAACTTGAGATTGCTCATACTTGAGAAGGCCTCACGATCCAAATGTATGATATATGGTTTGTCAAATCTTACCACCATACCACGGATTGCTTCGGTTCCCTATATGTAAAATAAAAAGATCAAGCTAATAATATATAAAGTGCACGGAATTTGTATAAAAAAAATAAAATGCATGGAATAAATTATCGTATTAACAATGCACAATCACAAGAATGGGCGAAGTTTACCTTCTTATTTCCCAACACATGATTAGCATCCTCCAAGGACCATATCCTGCTACGTTTCCCTGCATCATCTGGTGATTCATGAACAACAATTTCCTTACCCATTTCTTGAAGCATCATGGACCCTCAAACAGCCATCGCTTTCGGTTACCATTGATTTCTCAATAAGAATTCCTATTCCAATTTTTGCGCAAAGACCACAACTTTCTAAGATTTGTATGACATCATCCTTAGCCATCCCATTGAAAAAGCAAGCAATATCTAAGAATATATTCTTCTCATTATATTCTAGTCCATCAAAGCTCACTTTAAGTATCTCCAAAATGCCATTTGGAGGAACCTTCCTAAGCGCATCCTCCCATTCTGATTCACTTCTTCCACAAAGAAATGAACCAAATACTTTGAGTGCCAAAGGAAATCCTTTGGCAGCTTTAATCACAGTTTTAGAAAGCTCCAAATAATGTTCATTTGGTTGATCTTCCTTGAAAGCTTTTTCAAGAAAAAGTTGATGGGAATCGACTTGACTTAAGAAATTCATCTTATATTGAGGAACACCATGCTCAACTAAAAGACGCTGATCTCTAGTTGTTATTATTATTCTACTCCCTTGACCAAACCATTCTTTCTTTCCAGCCAAATTCTCAAGTTGGCTTATGAGACTCACATCATCAAGGACAAGTAGAACTTTGGTATTACACCACCTTTTTTTTATCAGCATTTTTCCTTCGTCACAATCACGCACTTCCATATGATTCTTCTTTTCGAATGAGAAAGAAGTTTATGTTGCAATGAAATTAAACCACCTTCTTTTGCAGACTTCTCTCTAACATTATGAAGAAAGAAATGAACTTCGTAGTTTTTTTATATTCTCTCATAAACAATTTTAGCAAGAGTAGTTTTGCCTAACCCTCCCATTCCCCATATTCCTATAAATTGAACTTCCTCCGATGTATTTGCCAGAACTGACTCAAATTCTGCTATTTTTACATCAATTCCAACCAGTTCACCATCATTTAAGTCAAACGGCAGTTCATCATTTAATTTTGACCTCATCACTTTTTCAGCAACCAAATCAATGAGTTCTGTTTCATATCTACAAAAGAAATCATAATAATATCCAACTATCGCTTTTCGCCCAAAAAAAATGCATTGTCATTTGATGATTTGAATTGTGTTCTATGCAGGTTTTACTGCAGTGATTTATCATGTTTGAAAAGAGAGAAATGCCGAAATTCATGGTAAAAGTATAGCATATAAAAATAGATGTCACCTTTGCAAATGAAAGAACGAATTGTGAAGATGCATTTCATATATATCCACACACACACACACACCCACGGCACAATATATTTTTTATTGCCACATTTAGACGCGCACGTGCATGCATGCATTTAATTTAAATGTTTTTATTTCTTATATAAAGATCAATATATATATATATGTTTTCCTATCTTATAATAATATCATAATCTTTTTAAAGACCAATATCCAAGTTAAACAATTTCAATTCCTGCGCCGAAATAAGTTCTAAGTTACTTAAAGTCATGATATTTTTTTAAAGTAGTAAAATTACCGATAATCTTGAGAGTTTCAACCAGCTATGTTAGCAACTTCCTTTAAAGCATCCCTCCATCTTTGCACTTCGTTATGTGCAAATTTTTGTTCATGCTTTACAAAGGCTTCTTCAAAACTTCCTCTTTGATGCCGAACATCAGATGGATCTATGCCATAAAAGATTGGAAATACATGAAGGCCCAGCTCTTTCTTAAAATGAAGGATCTTTAGGAGCTCATTTAAACACCATCTGGAAGAAGCATCGTTTTTAGAGAGTACAACAATTGCAGATAAAGATTCTTCAATTGCTTGATTCAAACTCAGGTCGATAACTTCTCCTCTTTCCAGTTCTTCTTCGTCTCTAAACGTTATCAGTCCATTGTCACACAAAGCAGCATATAAGTGGTCTGTAAATCTCTTGCGAGTGTCTTCTCCTCGAAAGCTTAAAAACACAACATGCTTGTGCTTCCTATATGAACGAGAACAGCTTGAAGAATACTCAACTCCATGAGCTTCAAGTGCCATTGCAATAAGAAAGCAACTGAATCATTCAAAGTATAAATACAGCCATCAGCGTCTGGAAAATGGTAAAGAGACGAACAATGTAGAAGTGGAACTCCAACAAACCGTGTGGCAATTAGTACGGAATACTAAAATGGAAGAGAGTGAACCGATTTTTGTGTTTCAAAGCAAAACTTTTTGGTAGAAGATTCAAAGAAAGTAATTATATCCGTTTCACTGAAGAAAAGATAACAGATTATAGAAACCTCAACAGACAGTGCAGCCCAAGATTCACTATTTATGCGTGTATCAAATCAAAGTATCGCTAACATTTGATATATTCTTTCTCGTGCTTCAGTATTTCAAAGGAAAAATTCACATAGTAAAAAACTTTTTCCGCACATAAGTGAAAAAAGTAAACAGAAATAACAAAGTAATCATTTCATTGAGTAAATGTAAAAGAAGAGCAAGGAAGAACATATGAACTTTATCGACGGAATAATGTTGAAAGATACATATCTTTGAGTTGCAGCTTGATAAGTGACCTCTTTGGTCTACTACAAATTTATAGAGCAAGGGGAAAGAAGCGACGTAGGCAACACTCCAAGCTCGACATGCAGGAGGGTATTTATGTATTTTTTATTTTATATAATATTGTTTTTATTAAAGTTAAGGTATAAATTTACCTCAAAAATTTTTACTCAAGAATACTGAGCATCTAAATTTTTTTTGGGTACAAATTTGTCTCAAAATTTTAAAAGAATAACAGCATTGATTGTTAATATTTTTAATAGTAGGAGGCCAAATTGTTACAATTTTAAATTTCTAGGACAAATTTGAATCTAAAAAACTACTAGGTGCTCCGTGCTCCTGAGTAAAAACTTTTAAGACAAATTTACATCTTAACCATTTTATTTTCTTGATTGATTTTATAAATATAAAAATGCAATCATCCAAGTCAGCTCAAGTCTTCCTTGACCCGTTTCAACCACGTTGCCGTGTTCCTTTGAGCAAACATAAAAGCACGGCTACATACACACACACACACACACATCAATGACATTTCATTGATAATTTATTTTTATAACACTAGATTAGATTCATGGATCCGCTTAATTGTTAATCATATAATAAACCAACTTAATTCATTTCTTCACAAATTTGTGTTAATATCGCCATAGATACAACCTAAAACTGATATATACTGTAATACTAAATTGCGTTTTTGGATCTAACCTGCAATGTCCTCTGTGATTGCAGTATTTTCTACATCTCCTTGTAGAAATACGCACATTTTGGAAGTGGAACTCACATTTTTTTTAAAAATAAATAACTAACTAAGATAATAATTACACTTTAGAATCTAAGATCATAAAATGCTAATGGCTTAGTTATTTAACCCTAAAATAGTTAATAAAAAATGATGATATTGACATAAAAAAATTATCATTTAATACTAATGATTTAATATTAAATGACTTAAAATATACTTTTTAAAATTAAAAAATAAACTAAAATCTTGTCTAAAAATAAATGATCAAATATATATTTTAGCCAATATCAATTAAAAGACTCCTTTTATCCATTCGACCGCCCAAGGCATTATGCAGAACTGAAGGGAAGTAACGAAGGGTTTTTTCTTTTTTCTTTTTTTAAGACCATGCTGGCTAGTTGCCATTATTTGTTCCAACATAAGTTGAAAGATAAATCTTTTCTCTCATGGAGTGTAAGGATAAGGCGCATAGCACCAATATGAAGATGGGTATAACCTTGAGCTATCCACTTGTTGATCAAAGGCTGAGGTATATCAATATTGACATATTGTTCAAAAGAAGAGGCAGGAAGACCACAGTTTTCTAGTCTGGTAGACTGAACAAAGACCCTCGAAAGAATTGCACAACAACCACCTCCTTTAAAGATTCCTGACAGGGGGCTACGAATCCTCTAGACTGATGCTAGTGATGATTTTTCAATGATCTGGAAATCACCAATGAATTCCTTGTGAATGAGTCCCAAAAGAGTTCCTGCATTATCAACTCTGGCTGCAGCTATCTTCTGGTAATCACTGAGACTTTGATACCATTCTCTTAGTGTTCCTGTTAGTCTCGAGAGGAATTCTGTGAGAACTTCCTCAAGAGTTGCATCGTGCCTGGCAAGCTACAGGTCAATCCATGCTCCAAACTCATGGAGTCTGTCTCTCCATTTTTCTGGAGAAACATCATCAAAAGTGAACCATGGACCTGTAGTAGGTCTATAGTCTGTTCTTCTTGGCTCAGACGTATGAGGGACAGATGGTTCTTTATCAATAGGATCTTCAACCGTAGGATCTGGTTGGACCATTGCTACCTTAGAGATATCAGCATGATATGTCTCGGAAAAACATTAACTGCACTTAACTAGCTTAACACAGGAGAAGACACTTCATGTCTTTCTCTTGAACCTTTCCCTCCAAACTCACCATTAGCTAGCAACACAACACTTGAAGAATTTTAGAGAGATTTCATCATGAGTGCTGTTAGACCTCCACCAAACAAGTCACAAGTCCTTCCACAAACAGAAGCCTCTGAAGACCCTTATAACAGAGACTCACAGATTCAACTCACTCATCTCGATTCCTCTTTTGACTACAAGAATCTCCTTGTAGGTAGCATGATAATGCTTTTCTGACTCCTTGAATTGTCCGCTTGCATGTCCACAGTAAAATCTTTTCCCATCTATTTATGAGTTTGGAGCATGGATTGACCTGCAGCTTGCCAGGCACGATGCAACTCTTGAGGAAGTTCTCACAGAATTCCTCTCGAGACTAATAGGAACACTAAGAGAATGGTATCAAAGTCTCAGTGATTACCAGAAGATAGCTGCAGCCAGAGTTGATAATACAGGAACTCTTCTGGGACTCATTCACAAGGAATTCATTGGTGATTTCCAGAATGTTTCATATTTATTCTTTAATTTTAAAAATACCAAAAGTTAAATTAAAAAGATAATGTATATAAAATGAAAATTTCAAAATTCAAATTTTTGCAGTGTTCCTATTGGGTCCAAGGGCCTTATGACACCTTTTTTTTTTTTTTTCTCGTTATAGAAAATTGTGTGTTGAACCCTACTAACTTTTGAATTGTTAAGATTGTCCCTTTGTATTAGAAGAGAAATTCAAATTTCCTTCTCTGTTTATTTTCTATAATATTGATTATTTTATTTTTCTTGATTGCTTTTATAAATAATAAGAATGAAGTAATCAAAGTCAGCTCAAGTCTTCCTTTATCCGTTTCAACCACGTTGCCGTGTTCCTCCGGGGTCTGGGCCAACGCTACTCTTAATTTAAAATAATTGACTTATTTGAAAATTAAGTTAAAATAGAGGGAGATTAATTTTTTCTTTGTTTTTTATGAGACAATTATGCACAACTTAGTTGGTTTTAGTTTAATTTTCATCATTACATACTCTTATATATTTTAACTTATTATCTGCCATATATTTCTGCATTTTGATAGAAGACAGAGATAAAATATTAACTATTCTCCTAACAATTTTAAGTTGTTTTCATTTTCTTAAGCATATACTAATTTATTGTAAATAATATCTATAATGAATTCATTCTCTTTATCAGATTTGAATTCCTCAAATTAAATTTCGACAATTTAGATTTTTTTAACTTAATTGGAAAATTTTTATTTGAATTTATGAATGTGT